ATACATATATATATACATATATAACTTTCTGTATGTATGTATGTATGAATGTATACATATATAACTTTCTGTATGTATGTATGTATGAATGTTGTTTTGAAAATTATGCAAAGATTCCATAGTGCATACGTATAAATGTATGTGTGTATTGCATACACATTAGAGTAATTAAAAAAACACAGTTTTTGATTTACACATCAAATTGAACCTCTCTGCTAGACAGAATTTTTAGCTTAATTTTAAAGTTTCCCATAAATAACACGTTAAAAATTTTTTCCATTAAAGTTACCATGATTATTTAACCACTAAGAATCAATTTTTCACATCGTAAATTATTATTAATTCTATATAATTTTCTAAAAAAAAAACTAAAATATTAGATTAGGAGTTTTCGGTATAATTAACTCTCAAACAAGAAAAAACGTTAACTTCAGCTGCACCGAAGCTAATATACCCTTCACAAGAGCATTTCTTTTGGTAACTATGTATGTATATATAATATATATATTCAGTTTCTATGGAACTTACATGCTATAGTTAACCGATGTGAACAATTTCTTCGGAGATTACATTGTTGCCTTAGAAAATAATCTATAATAAATTTCGAGAATATATCTTGCCAAATGTGAAAGTTTTCCATGCCAGCACTAGATTCCGATCCTTCAGTTTGTATGGCAGCTATATTTTATAGTTGTCCGATATCGGCAGTTCCGACAAATGAGCAGCTCCTTGAAGATAAAATGACGTTTGCAAAATTTCAAAAGGATACAATAAAAACTGAGGAACTAGTTCGTATATATACAGACAGATGGGCAGACGAACGTGGCTTAACCGACTCAGCTCAATATACTGATCATTAATATACATATATACTTTGTATGGATTATAATGCTATTTTTAATGGAGAAGGTGTTTTTGCGTGTTACTTATATGCAAAACTTCGCATGATTGTCGACACTTTTTAAAAGCCTGTCTTGCAAGTATATTTTTTCCCTGTATATAATTTTGATCCACAACTTCGATAAGTAAATTTTTTTGGTTCACTCTAACTTTCACTTTACAACTTTTTGATTGGCATTTCCCTATTTAGAGAAGCTTTTGCTATATATGGCTTAAAGTATTTGAATTTTGCTAAGCTTCCTCCATTTCCTGCTTGCGATATGACTTGTAATTTCCATTTGTTTGCACAATGAGGGATTTGCTTGCTTATAACTTTATTACGAGATATTCCATATATAAAACATGTTTTTTGTTTTTTTATTAATCCTGACAATTTAGCATTTAAAAAACAGCATCTCATACAATTTTTTAGATAAATTTCAGAATTATAAGTAGATATCACATTGACGTCGTGTCAAACCGACCTTCCAACTTTCAAAGCATTTTGTAGAGAAATGCTTAAATTGTAAAGATTTATTTTGAACAATAAATTGCCCGCGTTGTTTCAGAACTAAATAAGTATTAACCGTAAATTTTTGCGAAATTAAAATTATTCCAAAAGCAATATGATTTCGCAAAGCAGGCCGCTTCGAGATTTGTGAGAATCTTCTCCCAATTTATTCCGAATTTGTAATATCTTCCATAAATTTGACTGTAAGAACTAAGCTATTCCATAGACATAAGTGAGTCCATTAGATCCAGCGATCCAATATCAAGACTTTTCGTTGATCAAAGGTTTTGCGATTTGGTTGAGTAATGGATACGCATTGGTTGATATTTTGCGCGGTTGGTTGGCCAATGGAAAGTGTTTGAATTCTTATAAAAGGAAGACAATGGAGCTGTAACGAACATATTTGTATGATACCGAGTGATCTAAAGAATCTTTTGTCATTTAATCCTTTCCAATAACTATATAAATTAGATCGGAGTGCATTAATATATCGGATATACATATATTACCATACCTCTTAAATTATGCTAAGAAGGAAAAGCTGTTTAAAAGTTTTTAAGATAAGAAAGTTTTGATGGAAATGTTCATCCGGCACGGAAATAAGCAAAATGTGAGGTTAGCACCGGGCTAGTTCATTTTTTTTAAATACATAATGACAAAAAATTCAATAATTATTCATCAATAATTCATTTTGTCGCCTTCAAAGTAATCCCCACCAGATGTAATACACTTATGCCAACGATTTTGCCAGTACTCGAAACACTTTTCAAAAGCACTTTCCTTCAGCGAATTTTGAAAACGGATTCCATTGCGACGCTTGTTGACTTTTTTGCATGTCAAACTCATAAAACCATGTCTCAGTCGCAATTATAATGCTTATAATGCCATCGGAATTCGCACGATTAAGCATGTCCAAAGAGACCTGTTTACGGTACTCTTTTTGAAAAAAATTTAGCTTTATCCGGACGAGTCGAGCAAGAATGTGTTTCAGACCCAAAATATCCATCAAAACCATTCGAACGAACTCGCGAGAGATGTCGAGCAACGATACATTCATACATACATACATATGTATATATAAATGTACACATATATAACCATATTTTTTTAGAAATTAGCAATATTAAGTCCCAATGATAATATCTAGATACAAGCGAATCTGTATATATGTAGTATACTATATAAGTTTATGAATATGAATTATGTGCGCCGTATAGTAATACAATTAGTAGCATAAATAAAAATAAAAAAATTAAGAAAAATGCGCAGAATTCTATAAAAATTGTAGCTTTTCTAATAGTTGTATTTATGTTGATTTGAAATCGAAGTTGTTTCCAACACGTTTTGCCTCGGAAAATCAACAGTGATTAACAATTGATAATAAATTATTGAAAATAAATATTTAACAATATTTTAATATGTTTTTTGTTGCTTGCTTTTCGCATCAAACTTTAATTTTAATTTTAATTGTATTATATAATTTTGCTTGGCAACGCAAGAAATCTCTTTAAATTGAATCCGTTCCGGTTCAAGTGCAATTTTGTATGGAAGATATTGTAATAAATAAATTGTAGTTATGTTTCTAATGAATTGCGAAAAAAAATCAAAATAAGAAAACAACAACAAATGTGTTGCGATTTGTTGTCAAATATAATATATAAGGATAAATGTAATTATTAAAAGTAATGAATAATAAATATGCTTATAAATAAGTATTTTACAATTAAATGTAATTAAAAACAAAAAAAACAAAAACAAAGCTGAGATAAACTGCTTTGAAACAGTTAATAAACATAAACGTGCAAAATTGAATTGAAGCAATACTTGACTTTAAGAGCAAACAGAGCTAGCACTAATACACTTACAACACTAAATTTTTTTATACCGGTATATGCTTTAGAAACTTCATATCGTCACCTAAAATGCAAAATAACGTAACATCACTTTACATAAGTTTACGGGCGAAGGAAAAACGATATAATAGAAACCACTCATATTGAAACAAAATTTACGTTTCGGTTATATATTGGTTATATAATGGTTATATATTGGTAATATAATGGTTATATATTGGTTATATAATGGTTATATATTGCTAATATAATGGTTATATATCGATTATATCTTATTGCAAAAGCTGAAAATTTTATGCTAAATAAATAAATAAATAAATTTATAACATGATTTAGTGAATCGCAAGCAATAAAAAACTCAATTTCGATTTTTTGACGATACGTTGTCCTGCATTTTCGGTGACGATATACAGTATTTATAAGTTTTGACACGCAATCCCACAAAAAATCGAATAACTTTATTAGCGGCTTTTATTTCTCTCTAGACTTTAATGATTAACACAAAAATATACATAATATATACATATCCATATGTACATACAATGTATGTGCGTACGATTGCGTGCCCGCACCAAACTTACAAAAATGTCTTTCGCACGCCACGCTGACGCAACGGCAATCGAAATGTAAGTACCAACAAATCTACTACCATTCGAAAATATGCAGGAATAAAAAAAAGTTAAATAAAAAAGAAAGCGTGGAAATGCCATGGAGAAGAAAAACAAATTTCCGTCCTTTTCGGCGAAAATTTTGACTGACAGCTAAAAGATGGATGATTTTAATGTCAACGCCTGTGACTGCATATCTCGCAGTGCCCTTCTTCCGATATTCTATGCATGTGCATATGTATATGGCACGCCGTTTATACATCCTGTGTCACATATACATACTTACATACTAATGTGTATTTGCACATGCGTCAGCATATGCGCTTGTATGTGTGTAATGCCGGTTGTAAT